AAGAAAGAAGACTAGAGAAGAAACAGCAAGAAGGAGACGGGGAGGAAGAGGGGAGAACACGGTTGCAAGCCAACAGTTCAATTCATCAATTCACCACCCAATTCATCGTCCAACTTCAACCTATATGGAACAAAACTGGGCTTTAGGCTAGCCCACTAGATAATAAATGGCCCAATAACAAGAAGTTAGACATGATAAGACCTTCGAGCTTCACCTTCTTTTTCTACCGAATCGCTAATCGAAGGCATCGATGGCTAGAGGCAAGAGACTCAGAGATGAGAGAGCGAGGCCGAGAAACAAGAGACCTAGCTTCTTTACCTTTTTCTTCTTCTTCTTCTTCCAAAAAGGAATCGCTGACAGAAGAAAGGCAACGGCATGGGGTCGAGGACTCAGAGACGAGAGCGAGAATGTGAAAGGGTGAGAGAAAAAAAATTCAAAGTCGCATATGAATGGGTAAGAGTTGAGATGATATTGGATTTGGGTTTTCTCCTAGGCCGGTGAATGGCTAGTAATAAAAAAAAGTGATTAGATTGGGTCCAAAAGTTCAGTGCAGGTCTGTGCCTGTATTGGACCTTAATAGGCTTCGACCATTATGTTAATAAGAGATAAATCAATGAATAATAAGGAAAAAAAGCACAGGTCGCGTGTTTGTACTTTATAAAAAAAAATGGAGTATCTTTGAGAGACTCTCTAAATACAAAATACTTTTTATTTTAGAGAGTCAATTCTCAAAAATGAATTCCAATAGACTATCTATTTTGTTGACATATGGTCAAATCTTATGTTTTGATTATAACAAACAAACAATGTTTATCTCTAATTCTAATCTTCAAATTGCTACATGTTGCCAAACTTGACACAAAACTATTGGACGAAAAGTTGTCAATCAAGGAAGTTGAAGATAAAGATCGATCGAGCACTCATGAAGAAAACTTTGTGCCATTTCAAAATCAAGCAACAAATCGAGCACTCGAGCCAAATAAATCAAAGACATTGGAACTAGATGTTTTTAGCTCGTTTGTAAAGGTAAAGCTCTTTAATTCTTGACAAATATACATTGAAAGCTCAAGTGATGAATTTCTTATACATGATAAAAATTCACGTCATTAAAATGATTGCACAAAAATTATTTTCAAAAGAAAGATTTTTCAACCTAATCTTAAAGACTATTAAATCTCACCTACCTTGAAATATCTAGCAAAAATGTTTTGCAAAATATTTACTAACTGCAAACAAAACCAAAACTGTGACTCAGAAAAACTCTGGTCATTCAGACGTCTGGTTCGCCAAGAACGGTCGAATTTTTGATCGTTCTGACAAGTTTCAAACGGCTACTTTTTGGGGGTCGTTCGATTCTGAACCGGCGTCCGGATGGGTCGTCCAATTTGACAAAAAAGTTGGCATTTTCAACTGCTATAAATACCAACTCACCTACCATTTGTAAAATGGACTTTTGAGCATTCAATTGATATTCCTTTGAGCAAACATTGTATTGATTTCTCATATCAGTCATTATAAAATCACTTTATAATTGAGAAGTCTCTTGATCAAATTAATTCTTGAGAATCATTCCATACATCAAAGATTTCCGTACCTAACACTTGAACTTCATTCATTACTATCTATTAAAGTGTCAGCCTACTTCTCTTCTTGTACTCAACTTTGGAATCATCATTGATTGAGAAGAGAAGATTTCACTTGTAAACTCATTTGAATTGTGGGTCGTGTTGAGGTCCCGGAAAGTTCAACGTTATAAAAGGATCGGTGCTCCTTACTTGTAAATCATCGGAAGTATTGTAAATGGTTGGATTGCACCACAAGTCAATCAACATAGTGAAATTGTCATTGCTCGTGCCCGAGAGCTTGGTAACGGGGGATGCAGAACCTCCACAAATATTTCGTTTGCACTCTCCATCCCTCATCGCTTATTGCTTTCATATTTGTGTTTGATAGTTAAATCAGTCTATCTAGTTATCACTTGTTGATTATAACTTAATTTCTTGAAAAAGTTTCAAAAGCTAATTCACCCTTGCTTTCATATTTGTGTTTGATATTTAAATTAATCTATCTAGTTATCACTTGTTGATTATAACTTAATTTCTGGAAAAAGTTTTAAAAATCAATTCACCCCATCTTGGTTAGTTAGTCTTGAACTATCATATTTTAGCATTTTTGAAATAGATAGTAGGTTTGGCTATTCTTAATGTACAATGAATGTATTTAATAGATCATATATTTCAATACTCTACTTCTAAAATTATTCAAACTGTATTTAAATTGATTGGTCAATTGTCATATAAAAAATTATGTTAAACAAAATATAAAGAGAAATCAACAAATGGCATTTTAATGTTGCGAAATCCACGATAAAATTGATTTACCACACAAAACTCACAATACAACTCGATTGTAAAACTATATTTGAAGTAGTAATAACAATAATAATAAACAGTTGATAACTTAAGCACATTACACATGCTATATCATTTCGTGGCAATTGTCCAAAGAATATAGAGCGGTGCTTGGTGTACATGATTTTTTTTAGGGAACATGCGGCAGCATTTGATTGGACCTTGACCAAAAAAATTGTAAAATAACGCACAGGTGCACCAGCGCAGCATATGTAGGAATTCTGGCAACAATGGGAATTGCCCAAAAATATATGCACATAAAATTTCTTCTCTAACTACTTTTATGTCGAGGACATCTGTGTCCAATATCCAATCCACTTCACAAATATTTGAATAAAAATCTAATACTTATCGTATTTTACCACACTCCAATTCATGTCACCCTCAACAAAAATACTCGTAATACATATACCCTACAAATTTGTAAGTTCTATTTTCTTACTTCTTCAACAAAAAAATTACATACATTGTCGGTCTATGTTTGCTAGTTGAGTTACTTTCAAAAAATCAAAAGCTGCTTTTGACATTAAAAAGATATTTTTGAATATGTTTGAAATTTTTTTTAAACATAGTTTGTCTTATTCAAAAAACTTTTAGAAAAAACTGACATAAGATAACTTTAAAAAACTCTTTTACAATAATTAAAAAATAAATACAGAACACGGACATTTAGCCATTTGAATGGCTTCGAAGACACTCTAAAGGCCCTCTTTTCAAGCAAACAAGATTACGTAGTCAATGAGTAAAGACAATCATTTCAGATTGATTGGAACAAATGCCAAACACGTCCTTAAATAACTCAATCATTTAAGGATCATGTGACTTGTACATTTTTTTTACACTAAGTGTGACATTGTGCCACATGTCGCATCATGATTAGTCAGTTTTTAAACATTATACACTTTCCCGCCAACAACGCTTTGAATTTCCAAAGCATGTCAAATTTCATGTCAACAAAAGAATGTACAAATGGCTTAATAATAATAATAATAATAAACATTTGATAACTTGAGCACATTACACATGCTATATCATTTCGTGGCAATTGTCCAAAGAATATAGAGCAGTGCTTGGTGTAAAGGGCTTTTTATAGGGGACATGCGGCAACATTTGATTGGACCTTGACCAAAAAAAAAAAAAACAATAACACACAGGTGCACCATCGCAGCACATGTAGGAATTCTGGCAGCAATGGGAATGGCCCAAAAATATATGCACATAATTTTTCTTTTCTAACCACTTATATGTGGAGGACATCTGTATCCAATATCCACTTCACAAATATTTGAATAAATTTAATACTTATCGTATTTTACGACACACTCCAATTCATGTCACCCTCAACAAAAATACTCGTAAAACATATACCCTACAGATTTGTACGTTCTATTTTCTTACTTCTTCAACAAAAAAATTACATACATTGTCGGTCTATGTTTGCTAGTTGAGTTACTTTTTAAAACATCAAAAACTGCTTTTGACATTAAAAAGATATTTTTGAATATGTTTGAAAATTTTTCTAAACATAATTTGTCTTATTCAAAAACTTTTAGAAAAAACTGACATAAGATAACTTTATAAAACTCTTTTACAATAATTAAAAAATAAATACAGAACACAGACATTTAACCATTTGAATGGCTCCGAAGACTCTCTAAAGGCCCTCTTTTCAAGCAAACAAGATTACGTAGTCAATGAGTAAAGACGATCATTTCAGATTGATTGGAACAAATTTCGTAAGGATAAGCTAATATTTTCATTGAATAAATTTGAAATCGATTATATTCAATTACTTATCAGTCCTTACCTTATCTTCCAATTTATCTACTAAAATATTTGACACAATTAGATTGGACAAATCTATTTGAACTCGTGACAACCCACTGGAATCCAATCGAACATTGTTCTTTAATTTAGCTACCCGTCTGATGTAGATTTTTATTAGCCCCCTGTTTGATGCACATTTTTTAGGAGGGAATTCAATTTTTTTTTTGTGATATGATGATGACTGTGAGGTTGAAAAAGAAGGAAAAGTTACTGATGTGATGTAAAATATTTTATTGAATAATTTGTGATTGAAAATGAGTAGAAGATTGAAAATAAAAAAATAATGTGACTTAAACAGAGGCTAGATTTTAATAAAAGATAATGAAATATTTAAAAAGTTACATTACCGATCAAAAAAAATATATTTAAAAAGTTACATTTATTGCCTTTATTTTTTCCCTTTAAAACTGATTAGTGAAACAAAAAGATTATTTGTCCTCCAATCTACCTGTTTTGGAAAATCCGCAACGGAAACCAGTGCTTTTCGCGGGAACTCGTGCCACTTGTTCCAATAATATCTTTTTGTCAATAAATTCGTCAACTTATAATGAAAATCCATCCCAATATGCGATAATTTAAGTGTTACGTCAATCACCAACATGAGTAGGCTTCTCACTTTATTGAAGCGGTATCAGGAATTCGGCCTCCGAATTCTGGCAAGTTTATTAAATTGATTTTATCTTTGTACACACGTCAGATGTGCGTGTTTGCGTATGCATTTCGGTTCTTCATTCGGTGCATAAACTATAACGCCCGGCAAAAATGTGGAAACAAGGTACTATCTCTACTGCGTGTTGTACAACAGGCTAGATTTTGAACACAGATCACCGATGTGAATCTTTCTGTTTTTTTTTTATTATGTACATGCAGTTCACTATGCTAGATCTAGCTGGTTTTGTTGTTAATTGATGTCAATTTCCCTGTGTTGATATTTTTTTTGTTAAATTTCTGGAGGACATATTTAGTAGGATTTTCGGCTAGATCCCGAAGGTGTTTCTATGAAACTTGATTTTGATGAAAGTTTTAATTATTGATTTATTTTTATTGTTTTAAAGCTTAGTATGGTGATCAACTGGTCATTATTTTCAATTGGAGAAGAGTTTAGATCTTAGAATAATCAGTTCTATTTTTTTAACATCAATTAGTTCTATTTTACTAGATTTTATAAATGATTATTAGGTTGGTTTTCATAATCGACAAAAGGAGTTAATACTAAGTACGTGTTCATTTTAATGTTCACTTTACATTGGTTTTTCTATGTTTTAATTGTGCCACCGACAGAAAAACAGTATTCTCAGAATTCTTTGATATATGTAAAGTAGATATCAAGAACAACTTATTTCCAAAAATCGTATTAAGTTATATGCTGGACATACATTACAACAAGGATTCAATAGATACCACATCATCCACCTGACACTTCTTCGATCGAATTTAGATCCTAGTCCGCAAGTAGACTTGTACAACACTTTATGGATGTTGTCTAAGCTTAAATGGAAATTATAGGTGTCATGTTGGATTCTCATATGATGTTCATTGGAAATTCCTTTGACAGCAGTTAGAACAAAAAATTCTAGTTTGGACACGTGTTCAACACTACGTAGATTGTTTCTAATACCTAGCACACAACTATAAATACGGAGTGAAATGCGCTTGAAGTTTATTTGACCATTTTGAGAACCAAAATTTATGTCTTGGCCACGTTTCAAACACTTAGTAGATTTTTACAACACTTACCTGAAAATGACAACTGGCTTCCATTATCTGGTGAAATGTCTATTCCTCGTATACCAGTCAAGAAATAGCCGATGATATAAAAGGATATTGTCAATATACTGCAAATGTTTTAAAAGGATCACACAGTTACCAAGGTGTTCTACCCTTTTGAGATGAGGTGTATGTCCAGAGGCATAAGTCTTGATACAAGTCAATAAAAGAATTCACACGAATATCTAATATTCTTGTAAGAAACCATGTAATTGAAAGAGAGGATAATGACAAAGTAGGATTCATGAAGCTGACCATAAATTTATCGAAAATAAGGCTTACTTTTTTGTTGTTTTTGTATGCTCCTAAGATATGATAAACCAACTTGAAAATCTATCACAAAACAATTTAACAAAATTAAAGTCCATATACAAACATACATAAAATGCATCATTAAAGTAGCAAAAAATACATTCTCAAATTAGTAAAATGTAATACACTACTAAAAAGCCTAAAGGTAATGTGTATCATGGCTGCTAATAGGATTTTTATATGAATCATCAGTATATTGGATTTTTCTATCAGCCCTTTGTCACTCTCAATTTTTTTTTATGTTCTTTTTTTCTGTTTCATTATCGGCTCTTAATGGTGTTTTCGTTTTGTCATTTTTTAGAAAAGCAGAACAAAAACAAAAACAAAAACATAGACAATATAAACAAAAGAATGGATTGAAGTTACGTGTCATAGATTTCATCATTGGCCATTTGTTGTTGAAAGTTGCAACTTCTCTCAGGAAAGAGGTTTATCGCACTTTAACTTTAGATTTCAGGGCACACTTACTTCACTACTCTCTTCTCTAATTCCTTTTTTTTCCCCTAGTTTTGTGTGTCGGTATGTTAATAATCCCAAAATCATTTGGTCTAGACAATTAATGTACGCAATAAACAACCTATATAGGGGAAAACATATGAGTGCACACGTTTCCGGGAGGCATGCACTAATTCAACAAATGGCATCAAGTCGTAAGTTTTGAGACACGTAATTCATGCGAGGGGAGCCTTAAGGCAACGCCTTGAATGCTTTTCGGAAAAAGAGAACTGAATTTCCGAAAATGAGAGAAAGATATGTTGGGAATCCTTGATGTGTCGATGACGTGTTCACTCAGAATTGTAAATAATATGATAACATGATAGACACGTGCTCGAGGAGTGCCTTGGAAGTGTACGTCATTGAAGGAAATTAAAATATACATTATGAAAACTAGAACATGCTATACGATGTGTCAGACACACGTCTTGGAGTGTCTAAGGAGTGTCGGTAGCCAATGTGTCGGACACGGACATAGACACGCAACCTGGATTGAGCATTTTTAACCAATGCTTTCATGCGACTGTCATAACTGAGTTAATAGACTCTCCCTATGTGGCTCTTCGAAACCTTGTGCTCTATAATGTCTTCATCTTGCGAAAAGTTACTAATGAAAGACAAATTTCAACATTTTTCGAGTTATGGTAGCTTACTATGGTCAAAGGTTCAGTTATCCCCACAAGAAAAGTAATACTTACTGGACAGTTACAAATGCCGTTCATAAACTTATAAAGTGTTATATTCATATCTCAAAGAAGAAAAATATATTGTTTAACGAGATCGGATTGAGACCCTGACAGTTTCACAAGGAGTTAATTATGTACTTCAAAATAAAGTAAATAAATCTTTACTTTCTTTATACGAAGACTTGATTCCAAGCATCTGAAAAGATTTGACATAAGATAATATTTACTTGTACTTCCTTATGAATGTTATATACATGGAATTTCTAGATATGCATTATCAGATTTTTTCGTTTTGAGGACTTGAGAATAAAATATCACATTGTTGCCCGTTCTTCTTTTTCGTATTTGGCTTTTTACGACAATTGGTGTTTTGAAGAAATCGTGCTCTGTTCATCCATACTCCAACTGTTGTAGATGAAAGGTACAATTTAATTTAGATATCTTTGTTAGGTCTATTGCGAATGCAAATTAATTATTACCCATGTGCAATGTATGGATTAATTCTATCGAGTAGGTATATCAATTTTTGGCCTTAAACAAAATCATATTTTAGTTTTGAACTCCTAATGTTTCGTTGAATATTAAAATTGTTTTTCTGCGACTCATTTGGTGACTTGCTACTGATATTGGGAAACATCAATTTTGAGATTGACAGCTTGTATTTTTTTCTCTGTGATGGTTCCTATCTTGAATTCACTGCGAACTACATTGTCTACTATGTGACATATGCTTTGTTGCAGTCTGTTGTTTCTGCACGGATTTCCTTGTCTTTGTGATAAGCATCGTCAACCATTGCTGAGTGTTGCTTTTGCTATTTATTAACTTCCCTTCATCCATGGACCGGGATTGTTGTACCCTGCTTAGTTTCTTAAATTCACGATTTGGTCTCGACATTCTTCAGATTTTGCTTTTACTTCTTTTTTCCATGTGCAAAATTTTGTTTTAAATATTAATATACTCTTAACTTGAAAATAGTTTGTCCTGTTTCTGTTGTATAGGTTGTCATTACATTTTTTTTGAACATTCCTTTTGTGTTTCTGTACCTGGTTATGATTGTAATTTTGTTACAGGGGATAAAAAGATAAAGAACAAGGTAAATTCTGCATCTAATACAAAGACTACATCAGTTGACCAGAAAGTTAACAAGAGACTTGCTTCCCAGACTTCAGATGAGACCACAAGTCCACTCAAAATTCCAAAACGAGCTGCTGCCTGCTCAGATTCCAAGAAGAAATCTCTTTATATGTCCAAAAAATCTTCAGTAATTGAAACAAAAAGGAATCTGCACGTGGAGGAAGAAATTGAAGCCCTTCATCTGACTGCTGGAGGAGAGGATGGTAGACCCTGTAGAAGACTTACAGATTTCACCTTTCATGATGTGGATGGGAAACAACAACCATTTGAGATGCTGGAAGTTGATAATATTTATGTCTCTGGTCGAATATTGCCCCTTGAGAAAAGTGCTAATAAAGAAAAAGAACATGGGGTTAAATGTGAGGGCTTTGGACGCATAGAAAACTGGGCTATCTCTGGTTATGAAGAAGGATATCCAGTTATATGGCTGTCAACTGATATTGCAGATTATGATTGTATTAAACCCTCGAATAGTTATAAAATGTTCTATGACCATTTCTTTGCCAAGGCTAGTGCATGCGTTGAGGTTTACAAAAAACTGACATCTTCTGGAGGAAATCCTAGCTTAACTCTGGATGAGCTGCTTGCTGCTGTTGCCCGTGCATTAACTGGGCGGAAATGCTTCTCTAGTGTTGCATCAATCAAGGATTTTATACTTTCTCAGGGCGAGTTCATTTTTGAGCAGCTCATTGGTTTGGACGAGACATCAAAGAAGAGTGATGAAAAATTCATTGAGCTACCTGTCCTTGCTGCCCTTCGAAATGAGAGTTACAATCATGAGGATCTTACACATGCCCAACCTAGGTCCTCAACTGGGACTTTAAAAATTTGTCCAGAATTAAGTGACACAGGAAACAAAATGATGCAATCTGGTTCATCAAATTGTCCAGCGGAGCATGATGAAGATCTAAAGTTGGCAAGATTGTTAAATGAAGAAGAATACTGGCACTTGATGAAGCAGAAGAAATACAAGTCTTCGATATCCTCGTCAACCAAATTTTACATTAAGATTAATGAGGATGAATTTGTGGATGACTATCCCTTGCCTGCTTATTATAAGACTTCTAACCAAGAAACAGATGAATATGTAATCTTTGATAGTGGCATTGATAAATGTCACATAGATGACTTGCCCCGAAGCATGCTTCATAACTGGGCATTGTATAATGCTGACTTAAGGCTGATTTCCCTGGAGCTCCTCCCAATGAAGCCGTGTGCAGATATTGATGTAACCATATTTGGGTCAGGAGTAATGACTGCTGATGATGGGTCTGGATACACCTTTGACACTGATAACAATCATTCCTCCTCAAGTGGTCCTGGGACATCTGAAGTTGATGGAATTCCAATTTATCTGAGTGCCATAAAAGAGTGGATGATTGAGTTTGGATCCTCAATGGTTTTCGTTTCAATACGCACAGATATGGCCTGGTAGTGCCTCCCATTTTTTGTTAATTGCAGTTTTTTTTTTCCTTGGATGCTGTCTACAATCATTCTAGAATATGTTGTCTTTCTGATTGATTTGTAATTTGATTACATTTATATTTCTCATCTTGTACAAAAAATATGGTCTGTTACATCCTGCCTGTGAAATGCTTGTTCATCTAAATAGTGTCTTAGAGAAAGCAAAAGCTGATGTCTTTAATTATTTGTGTAAACTAATGATAACTGGAGAGATACTAAACTATGATTGGTTATATTATTGGTTTTTCTTAACCATAGCCAATTTGATAGAACCTTCTCACAACTCCCTTGGCTGACTGGTGTTATCTCTTGTAATTTGTTTTCAGGTATAGGCTTGGAAAGCCGTCAAAGCAATATGCTCCTTGGTACGATCCAGTTTTGAAAACAGCAAGGCTCGCAGTCAATATCATAACATTGTTGAAGGAGCAGAGAAGAGTTGCACGCCTTTCTTTTGCAGATGTTATCAAGAGAGTATCAGAGTTCGAAAAAAATCACGCTGCTCATATATCGTCCGATCTGAATATCGTGGAAAGATACTTGGTCGTTCATGGACAGATTATTCATCAGCAGTTTTCAGAATTTCCTGATGAGAACATTAGAAGGTGTGCATTCGTGACTGGTCTTACAAAGAAAATGGAAGAGAGACACCATACCAAATGGTTAGTGAAGAAGAAGAAGGTTCTGCTGAGGAACGAACCAAACTTGAATCCAAGAGCATCTATGGCACCTATGATGTCTAAGAGAAAGGTCATGCGGGCAACAACGACCATGTTAATCAACAGAATTTGGGGGGGATATTATTCAAACCATTCTCAGGAGGAGTCTAATGAAGGGACTGGTTGTGAAGTTGAAGAGGCAGATGAACTAGAAGAGCAGGATGGGAATGATGAGGATGATGTTTTGGAGGAGAATTTAGTACAAGAGAACATTGACACACCTTGTTTGGAACCACTACAAATCAATTCATTTTGGAAGGGCAAGGAAATCAAATGGGATGGGGAACCTATTGGGGAAACACTTTCTGGTGAGGCTCTTTATAGACGGGCCACAGTTCATGGAGATGAGATTGTAGTTGGAGGTGCTGTTCTGGTTCAAGTTTATCAATCTGATAAATTTCCATATATATTTTTTGTGGAATACATGTATGAAAAATTGGATGGAACCAAAATGTTCCATGGAAGAATGATGCTACGAGGATCCCAAACTATTCTTGGAAATGCAGCTAATGAAAGGGAATTGTTTTTGACAAATGAGTGTATCGATTTTGAACTTGAAGATGCCAAACAATCTATAACTGCGGAGATACGGGTGCTACGCTTTGGACATCAGCACAGGAAAGCTAATGCTGATGCCGACAAGATTGACAGAGTTAGAGCAGAAGAAAGGAAGAGGAAAGGGTTGCCAACTGAATTTTACTGTAAATGTTTGTATTGGCCTGACAGAGGAGCTTTCTTTAGCCTTCCTTTCAATGAGATGGGTCTTGGATCTGGTTTCTGTCATTCTTGCAAACTAAAGGAAACTAATAATAAGAAGGAACGAATTGAGGTGAATGCTTCTATGGTGAGTTTTGTATTCAAAGGTACAGAATATTGTCTTGACGACTTCATCTACGTTAGTCCAACTCACTTTTCTGCAGAAAGAGTGGAGGGAGGAAGGTTCAAAAGTGGGAGAAATGTAGGACTGAAAGCCTTTGTCATATGTCAACTGCTTGAGATCATTGTTCCCAAGGAAGCTAAATTAACTGAAATTGGTTCTACCCAGATTAATGTCAGGAGATTTTTTAGACCTGAAGATATTTCTCCGGAGAAGGCATACTCTTCAGATATTAGAGAGGTAACTTCTACTCTATGAAGCACAGACACTCCAGGACACGTGTTAACATGTCATGTGACGGGTCTTCTTTTTTATATTAATTATCAAATTTCCTACACTTCCACATGTCAGACATGTGCGCTTCCTGCACGTGTCTGACTCGCCAAAATAGTCTTTATAATTCTAACACGAGGAACGTGTCCTCAACACATCAGATATTTCCATTTACCAAGCGCTCACTGGCTTCTTTGGGTCATATTCAGATATATTATAGCGAGGAAACACAAACAATTCCTGTTGTGGCAATTGAGGGAAAATGTGAAGTCAGAAGGAAGAATGACCTTCCCTGTCAACAAGATTGCCCTGCAATTCTTGACCATATTTTCGTTTGCGAACATCTATATGATCCTGCTGGAGGGTCTCTCAAGCAGGTAAAATAGGCTGGCTTGTTCACTAATACCTATTTCATCACAATCGATCATTTCTCTTTCTTAACTTCATTTCTTACATTCTTAATTTTGTTCTGGCTTCATGTATAGCAGTTGCCTACTCATCTCAAATTGAAGTACTCATCTGGGAAACTGGAAGACGATGATGCATTGAGGAAGAAAAAAGGAAAGAGTAGTGATAATTCAGGAGTCAAGACAGGACGTGAAGCTTTTCAGGGGAACCCCTTGGCTACTCTGGATATATTTGCTGGTTGTGGTGGTTTGTCTGAGGGACTGCAGCTATCAGGCACCCTTCCTTTTTCCCATTTTATAACTTCCTGAATTTAATGACTATGATTCCTTCAAATGTGGTCAAGTAATTTGGGCGTGATGATTCAATTCTTTTAGGCGTCTCTATCACGAAATGGGCAATTGAATATGACGAGGCTGCTGGAGATGCATTTAAACTAAATCATCCTGAGTCGTCCGTGTTCATCAACAACTGTAATGTGATTTTGAGGTGATCATGTAATTTTGTAGTATTCTTTCTCTCACACGGAGAAAATCACACACAAATATGAAAAATGCAAACCTATATCAATTACAAACATAACTCTAATGCGAAAAGATAAATGTGGCTTAATGCAGGGCTGTCATGCAGAAATGTGGGGATGGAGATGACTGTGTTTCAACCCCTGAAGCTGTTGAGCAAGCTTCTTCTCTGTGTGAGGAAGAGGTTGGTAACCTGCCATTGCCTGGACAAGTGGACTTCATCAACGGAGGACCTCCTTGTCAGGTTTGCTAAGTCTCCTGGCCAATAAAACTTGATATTTAATTTCTTATGTAAATTAAATGGAAGATTGTTCCTCTGGCAGGGTTTCTCTGGAATGAATAGATTTAATCATAGCACCTGGAGTAAAGTTCAATGTGAAATGATTCTAGCATTTTTATCGTTTGCTGATTACTATCAACCAAAGTTCTTCCTTCTCGAAAATGTGAGGACCTTTGTTTCATTCAATCACGGAGAAACATTTCGTTTAACTCTAGCTTCACTTCTTGAAATGGGCTATCAGGTAGATGTTTTTGCTTTTGCCATCAAATGATGAACTTCTATATTATATAAATGAAGTGTGCAATATGTCAATTCTGAATATTCTTATTTTGCTCCTGATCAGGTGAGATTTGGTGTCCTTGAAGCTGGAGCATATGGAGTTCCTCAGTCCAGGAAGAGAGCATTTATATGGGCAGCCTCTCCAGAGGAGTCCCTTCCCGAGTGGCCAGAACCAATGCATGTGTTTGCTGCACCGGAGTTGAAAATAAGGATGTCACAAAATGTATATTGTGCTGCCGTTAGGAGTACGGCTAGTGGAGCTGCATTTAAGTCACTTACAGTTAGAGACACAATTGGGGATCTGCCGGTGGTTGGCAATGGGGCATCTAAAATCAGTCTACCTGTAAGTCCTGCTTATGATCTGTGATGAAAAATACAACCAAAATATAGTATTAGTGAAAGTGCTGAATGGGTGAATATTGCATGTGATTCTTTTTCTGGACGTGGAGAAAGGAGTTTTAATGTTAAAATGGCCTATGTCAGTACGTACTACGTAATAATATATTTGCCCTTGCATTTCATTTCTAATGCAGTATCAAGATGACCCCATATCATGGTTCCAAAAGAAAATTCGAGGGAATATGCAAGAGTTATCTGATCATATATCCAAAGAGATGTGTGAGCTTAATGTCATCAGGTGCCAGAGAATTCCCAAGCGCCCCGGAGCTGATTGGCGCGACCTTCCAGATGAGAAGGTATCAGCATAATAAATTAGGACACGGATTTGGTCCCTTGACATTTCAACTTCTGCTGTAGTCTCTTATAATTCATTTGGTTTCTACTGATAATGCAGGTAAAACTGTCCACTGGCCAAGTAGTTGATTTGATACCATGGTGCCTTCCTAACACGGCCAAGAGGCACAACCAGTGGAAGGGGCTTTTCGGAAGGCTTGATTGGGAGGGTAATTTTCCCACATCCATAACAGACCCACAACCGATGGGGAAGGTGGGCATGTGCTTTCACCCTGAACAAGACAGAATTGTGACTGTTCGTGAATGTGCACGTTCTCAAGTAAGCCCATTTCCGAGATTGTTCAGCAAATTCAAATATTTGGCATTGATAATAATTCTAGTATGTGTAGCTGCACACCTACTGCACTCATGCTGCACACATGAATTGATGAACCAAGAGCCCTATTAGGTTAGATTATTGGCAAAAATGATGGTCATTTCCTTTATTTTTTGGTAAAACAATAGAAAAAAATCAAATATTATTTGAAGACTGGAACTTCGTGAAAATTTAATTCAATAAAATTTGTGTGGTTCACAAACATATGAAATTGAATTCGTATATAGAGTTTTTGATACATCATCTTCCATCAATTATCAGGTTGATTAAGACTAACTTTAAATTTTTTGCAGGGCTTCCCAGATAGTTATCAGTTTGCTGGTAACGTTTTACAGAAACACAGGCAGATTGGTAACGCGGTTCCTCCTCCCTTGGCATATGCACTTGGAATGAAACTCAAAGAAGCAATAAAGAGTCGGAGTCACTGTAAATAGATGGTTCTACACGTGGACAACTCTACATGCCTCGGGATTTCTTGAAAGTTAAACAAGGGGGCAGGTAATTGAATTATTTGGTTACTAGTTCAACAGTCATTGAAGATTTCATGGAGTAATTTATCTGGAACATTCTGTTGATTTTAGCGGCAATGGCGGGAAATGAAATCGAAGCATATAGAAAAGGTTCTGTTTTTTTAAGGTAAGCATAGGTCATATGGGATACACAGCTCCTTTTCCATGTTGATTTTGGTACCCTTGCTTGTCCAATTAAACCATAATCATGCCATTTTTTTGAACCAGGTGGGCAAGTTTTTATGAACTTTTTGAAATGGATGTACATATTGGGAACCAAAGAACTAGATTTGCAGTATTATGAAGGTAATTGACTGCATTGAGAATAATAAATGGTGTAGTTGTGTAATGGCTAGAAGAGATTGAAGATTTCATGGGTTTTGACTCATATGGAGAGATTTAATTGCGTTTTGGGTACACTTACTTTGACATTCAGACATGTATCTGATAGCAACTTTTCCTGTTAGGGAGAGCAACCTCACTGTGCATTTCCAGAAAAAAAATTCTCAATGAATGTAGAGAAACTGGCACAATTGGTCGTGTATCATAAAAGCATTTAATCTCTAATGATAAACAGTTAATCTGCACATCTTAGTTAAACCTCCGTACCATTTTCCTTACATTGGCTAGTTTAATTTTAATCACGGGTGTTTTGAAGTATCAGTGGTACCATGTTCTTGTTGTGGAGCAAACTAGACTCCTGAACAACTTGAACTTTGTGGCAGACAGAAAGGCTGCAAACATAATGTGGTTCTAACACTGCATAAGATCCTAATATATCAGTTTATTCATTTCTTAGATTCTTAATTTTGTGTTCTGGGTTCATGTGTAGTAGTTGCCGGCTCATATCAAATTGAATACTCTTCAGGGAAACTGGAAGAAGATGTATCGAGGAAGAAAAAAGGAAAGACTGGAGGAGAAAATACTTAGGCAATCAAGCACCCCTTTATTTTCTCCATTTGATAACTCCCTGAATTAATTGACTATGATTTCTTCAAATGTAACCAAGTAATTTGCTTCTGATGCTTCAATTCTTTTAGGTGTCTCCATCACAAATTAGGAAATCGAATATGACGAAGCTTTAGGAGATGCATTTATACTCAATCATCTTGAGTTGTTTATGTTCATCAGCAATTGTAATGTGATTCTGAGGTTAGCGTATAATTGTGTAATATTCTTTCTTCTCACACAAGAAAAACACAAACACAGGAAAAAGAAAAAGGAAGAACCTTATCAATTACAAAACACAACTATACTGTGAAAAGATAAATGTGGCTTTATGCAGGGTTGTCTTGCAGAAGTGTGGGGTGGAGATGACTCATTTCAACCCCTGAAGCTGTTGAGCAAGTTGCGTCACCGAGTGAGGAAGAGTTTGATAACCTGCCACTGTCTGAACAAGTGGACTTCATCAACAGTGGACCTCCAAGTCAGGTTTTCTGAGCTCCTGTTTGATCTCCATTGTTGGCTAAGAATGCATTTTGAAATAGTAGATTGATGGAGAATGTGCGGTTAAAAAATAAGGAAAAGTTTTGGGCTTGCGTGTAATGTTATTTTATTGCAGAATGTGTGATTGAAAAGAAGAGAGAAAAATGTAATTTAGAAGTAATATGGATCAAACAAGGGATAAGTCTCTTGGCCCATATTATACATCGATAGTTAAAGTTGAAATGATTCTAGAATTTTATCCTTAGTTGATTACTATCAACTGAAGTTCTTCCTCCTTGAGAATGTGAGGAACTTTGTTTCTTTCAATCACGGGAAAACATTTCGTTTTACCCTAGCTTCTCTTCTTGAAATGGGCTATCAGGTAGATGTTTTTGCTTTGACCATCAAATGATGAACTTTTATGTTCTATAAATAAAGTTTGTTTGTGCGTAAATCATTTTTGAATATTCTTGGTTTGCTCATGATCAGGTGAGATTTGGTGTCCTTGAAGCTGGAGCATATGGAGTTCCCCACTCCCAGAAGTGAGCATTTATATGGGCGACCTATCCTGAGAAGTCCCTTCCCGAGTGGACTTGAACAAATGCATGTTTTTGCTGCACCAGAGTTGAAAATTAAGTTCTCTATTTCTATTATGCTGTATGCTGCTGTAAGGAGTATGGTTAGTGGAGCACCATTTAAGTCGCTTACCGTAAGAGGATTGGGGACCGCCCTGATGTTGGTAGTGGGGCTTCTAAGACCAGTCTATTGGTAAGTCCTGCTTATGATCCGTGGTACAGAATATCATAAAAAATGAATTAATGGAAGTGCGGGAATGGGTAAATATTGCACGCGATCGGTTTTGGAAGTGGAGAAAAAGGTTTCAGAGCATGTTTGGTTGTGCTTAAAAGATACTTTTCTAGAATTTAAGTTTACATGTATTTACTAGAAAAGCAAGTTTTGTTAGTAACAATAAGTAACTTTTGAAAATCATGGTTGGAAAAATAAGTAACTTAAAAGTACATTGACTTTTAAAGCACACAACTAAACATGCTCTTATTGCTCAAATGCTTCTATATCAGTATGAAATTGCGTGTTTGTGCTTATGTGTTTTATTTGCAGTATCAAGATGACCCAATATCCTAGTTCCAAAAGAAGATTCGAGGGAATATGGAGGTGTTACTGATCATATATTGAAAGAGACGAATGAGTTTAAAGTTATCAGATGTCAAAGAATTCCCAAGCAGCCAAGAGCTTATGGTTCGACCTTCTAGATGAAAAGGTATTGGTGAAATAATTTAGTGCAGGGACTGTAAAGGAAGAAAACGAAACTAAAATCTTGTCCATTATGATTCAAGAATTTGTTGCTTCACAAGCTGCACACGGGTGGAGCTACAGGGAGAGTGGCCATCTCCTTTGCAACATTTTAAAATTTTGAATTTTTTTTTAGAATTTTGAATTTTTTAATATATACATAATATATGTCAATTTTGCCCCCATCAAATTTTTTTTGCCTCCCCCTCCCACCAAGAAAATCTTGGCTCCGCTACTGGTCACATGCGCCGTCGTTCACACACTACACAGATGTTGCACTCATGTTGCACACATTCTGTACATATGAAACAATCAACCAAGAGTTCTTTTAGATTGTTAGATTATTTGGCAAAATTGTTTCTGATTTCCCTTTTCTGGTAAAATATTTGAAAAAAAGTAAAAACTAATTTAACGACCAGAACTTGCTATGAAAATGCACTTCAAAAACATGGTTGTGATTGTAGAATATAAATATTTATTAGAGTGAATGATTGACAAGTTTCTCTCTGCTTTTTTTCTTCTTTTGATTAGTGATTGCTAATTTTTTTTATTTATTCTTTTAAATTTATCATAAAGTTAGGAAATTTTAATTGCATAAAGTTTTGGATACCTCAGTACGACATTGATTCAACCCAATGGAAAAAACAGAATGGAATGAAGCTTGATTGATCGAAATTATCATTGCTGAATATAAGACTTTATACACGGTAAGAAGGATTTAGAATTAGTCTAACAAATTTAGCAGCTGCCACAACTGAATTGATTCTCTTTTCCTGGAAATAAGGAGCTCCTTTGTAATGCTGTATGTTGGTTTAAACGATAGCCAGGTGTGATTAGTAATGGTTTCTAACTCCCCCTTGTTGGTTTAAACGATAGCCAGGTGTGATTAGTAATGGTTTCTAAATCCCCCTCTCAAGGTGGAGCATGATCAATTACTCCAAGCTTATCTCTAAAAAGTTGAAACCTTGATTATGACATAGGTTTAGTTAGTACATCAGCCGTCTGATCAGAAGAGGGAATGTAGCTGATTTTCAATCTGTTATCTAGTACTTTGTCTCTTACAAAATGCACATCCAACTCAATATGTTTCGTGCGGGCATGGTAGACAGGATTCGAAGCAAGTGAGCTTGCACTTAGACTATCACACCAGATGACAGGTGTTGTGGTTTGTGGAATCTTCAGCTCTTCGAGTCATAACTGTATCCAAGTTATTTCAGCTGCACAATGAGCTAAGGCTTTATACTCAGCTTCAATACTAGACCTAGCTATAACATGTTGTTTCTTAGAACACCAAGACACCAAAGTGTCTCCAAGGTAAACACAATACCCAGCCGTCGATCTTCTATCATCTGGACAGGAACCCAGTCTAAATCAGCAAATGCTGTGATGTCAAGGCTGTCATTTTTCTGAATGGTTAGGCCATGGTTTAAAGTGCCTTTTAAATATCTGAAAACTCTTTTAAGTGCTTTCCAATGTGAGTCTGTTGGAGCCTGAAGGAACTGACTTAGCCTATTTACGGCAAAGGCTAAGTCAGGTCTGGTGTGAACTAAATATTGAAGCCCTCCAATTGCACTCCTGTAGAGAGTAGGATCCTCCATTTCTTTTCCCTGAGTTCTGGAAATCAGTTTACCTGCAATCATAAGAGTTTGACTAGGCCTCAAACTTTCATAGTCAAATCTTTTCAACAATTCAACAGCATATCTGGTTTGCCTTAAGTATAAGCCTGCATCATCACTTTCAACTTCGATTCCCAGAAATTGTCTGAGGTCTCCCATGTCTTTGAGTGCAAAGGTGAAGTTTAACTTGTCTATAAACTCCTGCAGCTGCTGAACATTATTGCCTGTGATAACTATGCCATCTACATATATTAGTACAAACAATATATGAGACTCTCTTGTCAAGAAAAACAGAGAATTATCTGCTTTAGACTGTCTGAAATCCCATTTCAGTAGGGTGTTTTTCATTTTGTCATGCCATGCCCTTGGTGCTTGTCGAAGACCATATAATCCCTTCTTGAGTTTGCACACATACTCAGGGTGATCTTGACTTACAAAACCTTGTGGTTGTTTCATGTAAACAACCTTTGTCAAGCTTCCATTCAAAAAGGCATTATTGATGTCTACTTGCCTAATCTTCCAATTTCTTGAGACGGCCAGAGTAAGAATGATTTTCATAGTGGCTGCCTTGAGTACAGGACTAAAGGTCTCATTGAAATCAACACCTGGAGTCTGAAGAAAACCCTTTGCACCGAGCCTAGCCTTGTGTCTTATCACCTTCCCATTAGAATCGTGTTTCAACTTGTAAACCCATCTGTTGCCAATGATTTTCATCCTAGCCTTGGGTGACACTAGGTTCCATGTTTCATTATTCATGAGTGCACTATACTCTTCTTTCATTGCCTTCAACCAACTGGCGCTTGTTAAAGCTTCAGCAGTGCTAGTTGGAACAAGTTTATCTATTGCAGCAATTGTATAGATTTTAGGTTTAAAAATGCCAGCTTTGCTCCTGGTTATCATCTGCTGACCTGAAATCTGAGGTGTGTTCACATCTGATAAAATTGTTTCACTTGTCACATTTTGAGGATCTGGTAAAGCTTCAGCTGTTGCCTCAGGTATCTCATTGTCTGAAATCTGAGGTGTGTTCACCTCATTAACAGGACATTTTACCTACATATCCCTTTCACCCTCAACTTCTGTACCTCCACTAAAAAGGTCTGCTGCAAGGGATTCTTCTGATTGTAATGTAGAAGCTACAGTTCTATTTGGTGATATAGTATCAGGATCAAGAAAAGGAAGATAGTTTATTTCAGTATTAGGAGGCTGAGGTTGAGAGTGTTTGTTCAGAAATCCTGTCTTGAAAGGAAAATCTAGTTCGTTAAACACAACATGCCTAGAAATGTAGATTCTTCCACTAGGACTTAGACATTTATAACCTTTGTGTGAATCACCATAGCCGAGATAGACACATTTTTGGGAATGAATGCTGAATTTGTGATGCTGATATGGTCTTAAACATGGAGAACAAGCACATCCAAAGGTCTTAAGTTGTTTGTAATCAAAGGCTTTGGTAAACAACATCTGATATGGTGATTTATAGTGTAAAACTGGGGTAGGTAGCCTGTTAATTAGGTAAGTTGTTGTTTTAAAAGATTCCCACAATAATAAAGTGGCATTTGAGCCTGAGCTAGGAGAGTTAGCCCAGCCTCTGTGATGAGTCTGTGCTTGCGTTCAGCTCTGCCATTTTGTACAGAGGTATAGGGACAAGATTGCCTTAGTTCTATACCATATTCTAGTGCCAGTTTGTGAAAGGTTCTGAATTCTCCGC